ATGGTCTTCTCTCTCCAAACTTTAATGAGACTGGCCAGTGTTTCAGTGTGAAGAAATAAATTCTCCTAGTTTGGCAAAGAATAAACTTCAAACAATATACGCTACTTATCAGAATGTCTCAAATTTCTCTAAGACGCAGGACACATTCTTCCCGAGCTGGCCCTTCTGATGGAACCAAGACTTGATGTGCGAAGCTACCAAAGTTGTATCCCTATGCGCCATGCAAAGCCCTGCAAAGACGCCCTTGCTGAAATTGTCACCATCTGAAGCCCCCTTTTGCTAAGCCGCATTGGAAGCAGTTGCAAGGTGGAATGTGGGCTATACCTGATGTTAACAAACACATCGACAAACCAACAGGAATCTCTTGTGGTGGCTCCGATCGGCTACATAAATGCCCAATCTGCCCAGGGTGTTCCCTGTGTGATACGGCCCCCAAGTTTTGCTAGGATTCCCAAAAGTCTCCATGAATAGCGGAGCCTTCCTGCTCCAGAAATTCACCCTCAACAGGGCAGTGATGAGAAGGGGGTCGAGGAAGAGCAAGCACACAGTCTCTCCTGGGCTGTTGCGATCAGCTGACTCTCTAGCTCCTGCAAAGGACTAGGGGCGCATCTGTCTGGTTCCCCCAGGATGGAGACAGCTTGGAGCAAGCAGCTGCAAGTTGCATTTCCAGGAATGGAGGACCTAACATTGCCTGCCGCCCTCTTCTTTCCAGCAGACCTAGAGGGCACAGACACCTGAAACCAGCACATTGCCTCTGACCATACAGGCCTCCTGGCAGCAGCCACTCAGCCCTCCTCCTTCCCTTCCCTCCTACCAGGGGTCCTTTGACCTGGGAGAACAGGGTGCCCAGCTGAAGAGTCCTGTTGCAATTAGCCCAGAGGCTGCATGTGGCAGTTGCCTGTCTTTGGCTACTATTCTACATACATTTACAAATAGGCATGTTTTGTTCCACTTGTATGCTTTTAAAGATACCTGGGTTGTTGCAAAATGTCCCCATTAAACTCCCCTTCCGAAGAAAGCCAGACTCAGAATTTCCTACCACTTGGGGAAATGGGAAGCAGGTACCACTTTCCTTTAATGCCATGTTTTACTGATAAACAAACACCTTCTTGCACATTAGTTTTTAAAAAGGGTGAAAGAATCGGCTTATGTTCCTGAGGTGCTTTCACGAATGCGCATGAGATCATATGTGCACTGGTAAACATTCAAAGCTGAACAACTAAGAACTTGGATGTAATCATGTATATGATTTCATCAAGACTACTTTCAAAAATCACTGCAAAATGTAGAAGTGGAAAGATACGAAGGAACAGTTATCGGGATTACGTACAAGGAATATTGGAAAGAAGAAACAGGAAAACTTTGCTCCACTTTGGAAACAAAATTAGGTCATTTGGAACGTCAAAGTCTGGGAAAAACTTATAATGCATATTTTGGAAGCATCCTTAACTTAGAAAAGTTTGCCACCCTCTGTTTAGTCCCCTTAAAATGGTGTTCAAAACCCTGATCTAATTTGCAGGATTGTTGTAAGGATTACAGGTTCATGGCAACGTCTGAAAGTTCTGCATAAGTTCTGTGTAATGATATTGCTAAGAACACATTTCAAGTGCAGCGTGCTTAAGAAAAGTCACACCCCACATTCTTCCTTTGGCTCTAGTCAACCTACTTAAGTGCTTTGGCAAAAGATTGCCAAATGGCCAGCTTAGCAAAAACCAGGTGCAGTTTTGTGTGCTTGGTGCTCATCCCTGCACCTTTAGTGGCTGTTTGAAAGCACAGGGGCAGATGCTGGTTGAAAAGTTGGCAACCCTATTCCCGGGTGTGAATACCGGTGGAATAGAGAATTGCCGTCTAAAATATTAGGAAGGCACAGACCCCCTGGGAATCTGGCTGCTTCCGTGGCCGTCTCTAGAAGCGACAGACGCACTGGAACACGGGCAAACACACGGAGCTGCACACGTGCCTCCCTTTGAAATGCAGCCACAAAGATCGTTTGCAGAGTGCGTTCGCCTGCCCTCCCCACCCCGACAGACTGTGCGACAGGCACCGCTTCACCAAGTGCAGCTTTCCCCGAGCAGAGATGTCTGCATGCACTGCATGCCTAGAGCATCAGTTCCAGATCTTTTGCGCGGTGCCCTGACTTTTAGAGCTGCCCAGCCGCAAGCATTTCCCTCAGGACAGCCTGCTTCGGCTCCCTGGACACAGCAGGCCTGCCATTCCCCGGCAAGCAGGGGACTCACTCCTCTCAAAGACTCGCAGGGAGCACAGCATGAAGGTACCTGCCCTTTAAGCAGGCAGGGGGACTGCTACCTGTCTGCGCGCAGTCAGACATTTGATATTTTCATTAAGCCCAGAGTCCAAAGCTGCTGAAGACGATCACGGCAGGCCAGCTTTCTCGGACAGGGCCCAACTCTGCAAGGAGCTGCCAGCTGGGCCACCGCTCTGCCGCCCGGCCATCGTAGTCAGTGGGCCCTGGCAAGAGGAAGAGGAGGAGCACTGGCTGGTCGTGCATCAAATGATGTGTCGAAGCTTGTCCTCTGCTGCCTCTCCCTCCACACTGCGCCAGGTGCCTTGCCTGGGGGGTGGGGACAGAAGTTGCTCTGCTTGTCCAAAGCAGTGGCCTCTGAATGTGGGCGAGGTAATGCTTGCAGGAAGGGCCTGACCTGCCCGGCTGGAGCTCTGCAGCCATCTTTCTGGGGAGCATCTGCTTGTTGTGTGGTCCATGAGGCCGGATGCTGGTGGATGCACAGCCCTCCGTGAACCAGGCTAGAGGAAGGGGAATAGATGTGGAACGAGAGTAATGGCGTCTTGCTCCATTTTGTTCAAGAGCCACCGTGTCATGCAGCACCCTAAAGAGGCACTTCGTGGACAGAAAGGGCTTTCAAAAGACCTGCATTCCATGCAACTAAAGCTAAATGGCACCTGTGGCAGAAAAGCTCCAGGCATCCTGGTAATCTCTGGTCAGCTGGCTGCTCACCCACAGACTCTTCTCCCCCTGCCATCCCCTTGGAGCATCTCCTGAGCTTTGCTCTGAAGCCAAACGCCTCCCCTCCGCTGTCCATGCATCCCTTTTCACAAATCACAGAGCTCTTAGGAGACGGCCCTCTGAAGACACACTCACACCTCCCACTTGGGATATCGTGAAAAAGCAGCATCGTATCATCTCCTCCATTAAGTATGATTGTATCTTCATAGCCTATGGGAAAAGGCAGCTGAGGTGGGGAATAGAAAACAACCGCGGGTGCAGAGAGAGCTCTCTCTCTCTGATGGGGAAACACATTCAGGATTACATCCAATTTACTGTGTAATCCTAAACATGTTTACTCAGGAATGTTGCACTGAGTTCAGTGGGACTTAGTCCCAGGTAAACCAACCAAATATGAAGTAGCCAAGCTGGTCCATGAGAAATGAAAGCCACGAGTCTGGCCGTCGGGCAATAGCTCGCCTGGGGATTTTGGCCGATTTTTTATAGCTATACATTCGACACCAAAAGAGTTTTATAACAAGGAGCTGCTAGAAGCAATACTGTGGCACCTGCGGTAGATTTTTAAAGTTCTGGACATCAGAACCCAAGAGCTGTTTTCAAAAGTGCGCTAGCATCTCAAGAAGTGCCCGAGTGAAGTCTTTGAAATAAGATGAGGCGCCACCGTTCGCGATGGTTCTCTCTGCACTTTGCCTGGCCCAGGAACGAGGAGCAGCCAAGCGGCCTTGCCAGTCCTGGGCTCTCTGCCTGCCCCTTGGGCTTGTTGGAGACCCTCTCCATTGAATGGGGAGCTTCCCTAGGATGGCGCGTACCTGCGGTCCAAGGGTCTGGGTGAGGAGACTCTGCAACACGTCGCCACAATCCCCCCGGCCGGTGCGCCATGTCCCGTTCGCAACCAACCAGCAAATGTTTTGCTTGCCTGAAGCTCTTTGCTGGTCCCGGTAGGAATTCCCTCCTCCCCACCTGGACTGGGGCTTGGAAGACCAAGGAAAAGCATGGGTGTAGGGAGGACATGTTGCAAAAGCAGTGCGGGTCATCACACAGTTTTCTCCCAAATGCAAGCAAGAGCTTGCGCTCTGTAGCATTTGAATGATAGCATTGGGAAGTCTGCAACTTTGTTGGCACTTGTGAAGTAGCACAGGCTTTTTTGGTCCCATGGTAGCTTGTATCGCCCCAGATGCCAGGTTGAAAGGATGCTCAGCCTACAGGGAGTTCTGCTTCACGGTCATAACAACAGAGAGAGACGTCCGCACCGAGCCCGGCATGAGCCACCCCAGCAAGTACATGTGCCGTGGTTCTCAATACAAAGGGGAGCGCTCCCTGCAGCCAGAATCTGCCCAAGACCCCGAGGGCCTGGGCCATCCAAGCCCCGCACAGGAGACCTGCCTGGAGTTCCAGCAGGGCACTCGAAAGCCTCTTCTGGAGCGGGGGCAGGCTGTGGAAAGCAAGGGCCGTTGCAGAGCACGTCCCACCGCCTCTGCCAGGCCAAGGGGCGACTTGGGTGGGCAGCTGGGGCTCGGCGCCCTTTGGAGAGTGCAGAACTGGCTGCGGGTTGCTACACTCTGGGCTCCTTGCTGGCCAAAGTGCGAAGTGGCCCTCAGGTTTTGGACGGCGGGTCGCCCTTCAGTGTCAGTGTCCACAACAGCAGATTCCCGCAAAGATCCGATCCCAAATCATGGAAGAGGCACCAGACTGTTGAGCTGCCCGGGGGATGCCTGGCGAGGAGCAGGGAGAAGGCTGGTGTCCGGCCACATCTGGCAGAGGCACGAGTGCTGGGCCGGGTCCAGGGGCCATGGAAAAAGGGAGCGCGGAAAGGTAAACCTGGCCATGGAACAAGAATTCCAGGCCGGCTGCAGGAAGCAGCTGCGCCTTCTGCCAGCGCTGCGGTGCGAGCGAGCGAGCGAGCGCCCGCGGAAGAAGGGGCAAGCGGGGGGCCGGGGCCGGGTGGGGATGGGGATGGGGCCGGGGCCGGCGGCCCCGCGCTGCGCTGCGCTGCTCCCGCCAGCCGCGCGGTACTTGCCTTGCTCCGCGGCGCCAGGAGAGGCCGGGCGCCCGCCGCCTCCTCGCTCTGCCCCGGCGGCAGCTCAGCGCGCTGCTGGGGAGTCATCCCGGGCGCGGGCGGCGGGCATGCTCCGCGGAGCCCCCGGGCGCGCCCCCCGGAGAGGCCTGGGCAGCCCGCGCCGCGGCTCCCGCTGCAAGCCCTCGCGCGTCGCTGGCGCGTCCGGGCCAGGGCTCGGCGCTGCCCGAGTGCAGCCGCGGCGCCGTGCCTGCCCGATTTTCCTCATCGGCGGCCGGGAGCGGAGCGGGGGCAGGCCGGGAGGCTCCTCCTCGCATGGCTAAATAAGGGCATTTACTCGCAGGACAGGACGCTGCGCTGCGCTGCGCTGCGCTGCATTGCGCTCCGCGCGGCAAGCCCCGGGCGCGCCACGCCAGCGCCCGAAAGCCGGCGAGGCTGGAGCGCATCTCCCGCCCGCCCGGGCGCGCTGAGCGCAGGGCTGCCAGGGACGCGGCCGCGGGGCCCCCGGGCAAGGGATGCGGAGCCGGGGCGAGTCCGGATGGGCACGAGAAGGTGGCCCTTGCGCTCCGCGTTGCCGAGGCGGGGCCCTCCCGAGGTGTGGGACCACGCCTGCCAGCATCCTCCAGCCAGCGTAGGATCGGCGCACCTGAGACCTCGACGAGCCTGAATGATGCCAGGACGGGGAAAGCTGGTTTAGGGACAGCCCAGGAATAGGGCCTCGGTAGGATCGCTCATGGGAGACATTGCTGAGGACAGAGGAGGGAACCCTTCAAAAGGGCCACAGCATTCTGTGAACGAGGAGAAGAGAGGAAGCATTCAGGGCTGGTTGGTTTCTTTCTTTCTTTTGAAATCTTTGCTGGCCTTGCTGAACTGCACAGGTGTAGAACAGTCTTTCAGGAAGCCGCTAATTCAACACAGCGCTGATGAAACACACAATCAAGTAGTTATTATTATGAAGAGACGGGCCGCTGATTGAAGTTGTTCAGAGGCAGGAAAGGCCCTTTAGCCAATGCAGGGGCAAACAGCTTCTCCATTTTGCTGGGTTTGATCTGTCTGGCCTCAGGGCTAGGGAGTGATACTGACGGAGAGCGAATGAGGAGCTCCCCGGACCAGGCCCTGCTCCTCGCATGCACCGAGTGGCCCCGGGGCTTGCTTCTCTCCACCTTGAGCTCTCCATCTCCCAGCAAAAGGCTGGCCTACTTCACAGGGTTGTGGTACGGATTACTGAAATAATGGATGCGAAGCACGGAGAAAAGCAAACGGACACGCACTCACAATGCAACTCCCCCGCAGAATTACCAAGCTACCCTGCCACCCTCCTTCCACTGAGTCGAGATCAGAGAGTGCTGCCCTCCCTTCACTTCATCACAACGCTAGGAGAGGATTGTGATCAATAAGGAGAGGATAAGACAATAAGCAGAGGATAAGAGAGAACAGCAAGTGGGTGCCATGCCTGGATGGGAATTCTAAGGCGGCAGCTGCTCTGCCGCATGGCAGCAGGCCTCCACCCCCCCAAAAAGTTGCGCACCTATTGCACGGAGATGCTTTTCTCTCCTGTCCAGCAATAAGTGTGGATGGAACAGCCCAATACAGCCAACAGATCTGTGCTTAGAAGACGGCAAGGTCACCTTCCCGTCACGGGGTTCCAAACCAAGGGCTGTGTGGGCTGAAGCAGCTGCAGTTCAGGGAGACCAGAAGGGTCGCCCAGATCCCCGGGGGATTTGCACCAAGCCACTGTCTGCGCTCCTCCTCACGGCACCGATCCTGCCTGCCGAAGGGCTTGCCTTCCCTGCCATAGCTTTCAGTTAGTAGGAAAGCAACCTGGTCCTCATTAGAACAGCAATGTCTTCTCCAGAAAATGCAGCCAAGTAATTTCCATACGGTCTCCCTTCCAGATAAACTCAAGATGTGAGGCAAGAATGAGGGGTCGTGGGAGGAGGAGGGGAGAGAAGAAATCAGACCACTGATAAAGCCAAACAGGTCGCCTTTTGCATCCCGGAAGCAAGGGCAGGAAGCGCAGGAAAACACACCCACACACCCATCTGCATCGCATCAGGCAGTGCGAGAATAAGCCCCGCGCATGCCAGTTCCTCTGGACTGCAGCCACGCAGAGCAAGTCTGAGTTGCGCATGTGGCCATGAAGAGTGGACGGCGCACAGTATGACGTAAAGCAGGCGATATGGCTAAGAAAGCTCACAAGAATGTTAAGAACCTGGGCAGGAGATGCTTAGCCTGCTAGGCTAGGAAACATGGCAAAGACCCACAGGTATTTCAGAGAAGAGAACAGCCTGGCAATGCTGCACCGCTGCTGCATTCATCTTGTGGGTGTCGGCAGGCTATGCTGCCGAGGGGTTTTGAGTCTCATCACCTCCGCCGTTCGGTTCTTCGGGGTGTGGGCATTATAAGTGCTCAGGAGCTACAGGGCAAGACAGAATTTTAAAAATGCTCATAAGATGTTAACTTCCTGTCTAGAGGCAGGAGAAAGGGGCCCTTCAAGCCAAATTTCCTAATAAATTGCCCTACGTGTCTGAAAATTGATGTTTATTTTTCCCTCATTTTTAATACAGTATATGTATGTGTTTGAAATGCATAGGACTTTATAGCACTTATACATGGACTTCAGCAAAACAAACTGAATCTCCAAAGAAGTATTCATTTGAAGCCGGCATCTGCATGCTCACTGTCCATATTTTGAATTCTCATAAGGCCTTCAATTCGTTGCCATATAGAAAAGGCGTGTTGTCCTTACAAATTTGCTGCATCAGGTCTTTTAGCTCTCAAAAGCATGCAAAGCATCCCATTCCCATGACCATTTATTAACTTCCATAAGGAGGCAACTGATAAAAAAGAGCGTGTGTATCAGCCGGCATTGGCCGTTCCATTACAAAATTTATCTGTAAGAAAGCCTCCTGCCAAACGAAGCAACTACTGGACATTGCCGAAAGAGATGACTAAAAGAAGCATGAACTGTTTGCACCATCTGCAATTAGCTGAATTAGACGGTCAAAGAGACATTGTGGTGCCCAAAAGAAGTGAAATAAAAGATCTGCTGAAAAAGTTGCAGCCTAAAATTCATACATGCCGCAGGTAGATCGATAGGGGTGATCCACCGATGAGGTGTTTTGTGGTGCGCCCGAAGCAATTTCTCAAATTCCCAAAAGGGCACACGGGTCTTAAAAGGCTGGGATACCGGCATAAGCCACTGAGTCAATTCCGTGCCCAGTGCAGGAATCCCGCTTAAGACCACCTTCGCTCGGAAGACTCTTGATGGAGAGCCCACCAGCTCCCTGCTTAGCTGGTTGCATTATCTGACCACCCAGAAGTTCGAAGAAATCTGCCTTCCCGTGACTTCGGGCCATGATTACGTGCCCTGCGGTCTTGGTGACAGAGGTGGACACAACTTGTTCCTGGGGAGAGTGAAGTCGTATTTCAAAGCATATCCCTCTGCTATCCCTCGTCTCGGGCTGGGACGGACCCTAGAGGAGTCTCTCCCTCCAGTATCTGGGACTTCCTCTGGCCCTTGTCCTGGTCTTCCAAAGCAAGCTGAGCCAACAGGAAGCCCACAAACACGCTCAGGAGGAAGGCCGCACAACCAGCGGCCTTCTTCCGCGCCCGATGCACAGACCCAAGGGGCTGCTGTGGGGCGTGCTGGCAGTGGCAGGGGGCTCGCGCGGGAGGTTCTCGCCATGGGGCTGCTGCAGTGGGTGCAGACGCCGCTTGTGCGGCTTATGGGGCTCCATGCCTGGCGAGCACCAAAGGATGTTTGTCTCTGGGGCTGAGCCCAGCAGCCTTCTTCCATGCAGCGTTTCCCCCACCGCTTTATCGAGGCTTCTCCCCTCTCCCTCGCAGGAGGAAAGGCACATCCTTTGCCCACGTTCTCTCCCCTCCCCAGGGACCTGCCTTTCTCTGCCTCTCTGTAGATTCCACTACCCACCACACCATGGCATTGCTATAAGATGGCGCAATGGCACCCCGATACATGAGCATTTTGTGCTGGTTTGTTTTGCATTAGGGACTGAATTGCTGATGTTCCTCCTTCTAAAGAAAGCAGCAAAAATGCTGAGAAGTTCAGGAAAGACCCTGGAGGATGGCGATGCCCTGAAAAGAGCTGCACATTTCCGTGCAAACTTCCACGGCTGCACGATAAAGCTTTGTGCAGAGCAGCCCGTCCTGTGGGAGACAAGGCACGACAGCTCAGATCGAGCGCTGATGTGCAAGGTGCCGGAGGAAGAGTGACAGGAAAACGGTCCCCCCATTTAGCCTCACGACTAATGTGGCTCAGACCCCAGCAAGGTCAGCACGGCTTACCTTCCTCTCCGCAAGCAGACTTTTATTTGAAATGGAACTAGCTGAAAATAGTCTGACTGACCATCGCTTGCTAGTGATATTGATTCTCCCTGGGGATGCTACCGGATTTGATAAATTCACATGGAAATAAATCAGGTTTCCCAAAAAGGCCAGCATTAGCATTTGGCAGCAGCTGATAGAAACACGCCGAGGCGGACGAACCAAGGCGGCGACAAAGACTTCCTGGCAGGCAGCCTTGACACTGAGGAGCACTTCTGGCTGGTTCTGGGGCGGCCCAGTGCAGTGTTTACCAACACAAGGCAAGAAGGTACTTGGAGAGACAAAGAAGCTATTAATACGCTTATTTCTGTGGAAGTGACTCTTAGTAAGTGGAATGGAACTTGCGTCCTGGCAGAGTTACCTGGAGCCTGACATGCCTGCCTTCCTGCCTCCGTCAGGCTTCTCTCTTCACAGCTTTTTCACGACGGAGAGGGTGCGACAACAGCACTAATTTCTGATCTCAAGGAAAACCAAGATTGCCGCTGTGTGTCAGTCGTACTTGAATTGCCATGTTAAGATCTTACCTCAATATATCGGGGATCCCTTTTGCTTCTAGAAGCACAGGCAAAGTCTTGCTGTGTGGATTTAGGCAGCCCATTTATGCCAAGGGAAAGAAGCAGGTCTGCATATTGTGGAAGGAAGACCAGCTGAGAAAAGCAGAGCCTTTGCTGCTGAGGAAGATGGGACATGGGTAGGTCTGAAGGCTGCCTTGGCCAGGCAAGGGATTTGGAAGAGATCTGAAAGTTAGCGATCTGAAGCAAAATTCAACCCCCCCCCCCGAATTTTGGCCAGC